AGCATGGCCCCTGCGCAAGGATGACACGCAAATTCGTGAAGCGTTCCAAATTTTTTGTTGTTTCTTCAACAACAGAAAAGTTTGACTTTTGAAGAATATTGGGTGTATATCATGAACAATGACATTTTTGATTTCTCATCTGTTCTTAAAGAGTTTGTTCGGTGGACAACACGTTCAAAGTAAGGAATGATTTATTCAGCTTTTAATTTATTTTGACATTATGCTTTTCAGAAAAGAAAAGATATTTTTGTTCTGGGGCTGCAATGTGTTCATGGGAGAGAGAAACTATCTTTTGTTAAACTCGAAACACAATTTCCCTGGTCATTTGATGCCAATCCAGTTTTTCACTTGATTAAGTACCATATGCATTACTTTTGCCGGAAAAAAGCTGATTATTGATGTTACCATTGGCGACTCATTGGAAAGGTTATGCAATCGACTCTTCCTGTCATGCCTGCGCTCTCAGCTTAAACCATTGAAAAGAAGCAAAATTCATTTTTTTGTTAAATATAATGTAAATATCATTAAATTAATAATTTTTTACTTTTTTCATCCCTAGTGATTACAGAAATTCAAATAAAATGTTGGGTAATACTGCTCTGGAGCTTTTAAATATGCCATCTAATTATTTTGTATCTAATGAAGAGCTTATGCTGCAGAAGTTGGGAGTTAATCGAGTTTTGAATGTAGATTATGCTTCATATAGCATTCGTACATACTATCTGTTTCAGTCTCACGAAAAAATCGTTAACACGTTATGCTGGAGTTACAACGGCAGGTGAGTTGGAAGGATTAATAAAAAAAAACTGTTAGGCTTAGATACTTGTTGTCTGGTGCCGAAGATTCGATTGTTAAAGTTTGGTCTGTAAATGGAAGTTTGATGCATACTCAAAAAACTTCCACAGTGGGAATGTTTGAGACTCTGAAGTTTGTTCCTTACTCAGAGGCGAAAGTTTTTGCTTATACTGATACTGTGAACAATTTGTTTATACAAGACATTGAGAGAGAAGGCGAGTTTGAACATTCCATTTAAGACTTTTCAACAAGACTGTGCAGAGCCTTTGTTAAGACCTTCTTTGGAGCCTGTACAAGCTATGTCAGTGACTGAGAGTCAACCGTTTTGTATCTATTGTCTTTGCAATGAATCGAAATTGTCGTAAGTTTTTGGAAAAATGGCTAAATCTAAGAAAGATTCCATCGTTTGAGCATCTATGATGTGCGACGAGATGGAGCTGTAACGTTACCGTTTGAAATGGATAACCTGAGTTTATCTTTCGACATATGTCGTGATCGATCGGAATCTGCAAGTTTCAAGAAGGTTTATGATATTCATCATTTCAATGCCACAGATTGCCTTTGGAGCGAAAGATGGCTCAATCAATGTTTTTGATTTCCGCTACGCACGTCGACCTGTCATTAAGTTTAGCAGTGGTGAGAGGAAACTATAATCTCTTGAAACGTTCCAAGTTTCAGCTGATCATGCTTACATGGTTATGCAAAACTCCTTACGTTCTATTCGAAATCTGCACTTCAATGAGAAAGGAACGGAAATAATTGTCTGAATTGTTCTCTGTTACTTAAATGTCCTTTTTCAATTTGAGGTGACTGACTACTTCGGAACAGGATACTTGTTCGATGTGAACGAGGGAACCTTCAAGCTTCGAGAAAATTTGAGCAACTTGAAAGAGAAAGGTTAATAGAATCTTTTAAAATATTCTGCATCTATGAATACAGCTTGTTTGCCGGTCGAACCTGTTCGTCTTGAAGTTAACTCGTCCAACTTCGAGAGAACGGTCGGAATTATGCAAGATTTGATGGTTAAGAAAAGACTTTCCAAAGTGAGCCTCCCGAGCGATCTTTCTCTCTATTCTAAGGAACATATTCAGGCGTTTGAAATTAGTAGTGAAGCATTGTGTCATATGCACATAACCGACCCTCTACAAGTATCTATCATAAGACATATGAGAACATTCTGTTTGACCAAAAGAGGATGGATTGGAGATAAATATATGTGTTTGAGAGAAATAATCAAGGTCATTCAAATAATTTCTTTCTTTTTTAAAGTTTACCATCAGGCATATGAAATGAATCCGTCCAGTTGTCATATCTTGTATGATCTCATCAAACACTTGGCTTTGATGGGACAGTATCACCTTGCCTTGTCTTTTGTCAATTTGTACAAAACCAAGTTTGCTCATCATGCAGCTCCTTCCATTGACGTGCTGGAATCACAGGTTTTCTCATCTAGCTATGTTTAAGCAAAATATCTTAGATCATGTACGATGACAAGAAATCCCATCCGGAATACTTCCATGTTATGAGTGATAGTGATTTCATAGACTATAAAGGTTTCATACTATGTGACTTCAACGTTAAGCTTTCTCTTAGAACGGTATATTGGGTGTAACAACGCCTATACATCTTTCAATGATGTCAACTACTTTGGTTCTCATCAACAATACATTGGTGGGTCATACAAATCAGCTTGTAAACGTTTTTTTTCAGTTGCTTCAACTTACAATGGTTCTTTCCTGGTCTATCAAAAAAATGGAGCTCTTCTTAGGGTTTATAATCATTTTAATTTCTTTTTTGAATTATTGAATTCAGAATGCAATGCTTATGCAAGAGGATAAAATCCGATTAGCTCTTCCAAATCCTGTTCAGCCCATAATAGCTACAGGTCACAGTAGTGGAAGTATAAGATTCTGGGAGCCGACGTCATCTAATGAACAGGTTGAAAGATCTACAAATTCTATTATTGATAACTTCTTACAGGATATTCATAGAATTGATGATAACTTTAACGTGGGACGGTTCTTCACTCCCAGAGTCGTTGGAATAAATGACTACAGTGAAATTGACGGTGATGATGTGAATGTGGAAGGACAGTGTCGAGTTACCTAATCAAGCCTTTGAATAACTATGAAGCATCTACCTTCTATATTGATCTTTTTTTTTGTTTTTCAACTTCGTATGGAACATGTTAAAACCAAATTTGTGTTTGTTTTCTCATCTATAATGCCTAAGAATGAAATCGTTTTGCTTATCCTCGAGTGCTAGTGCAATGTTGACGTTAGCTATTGAATGGCATTTATCCTGAAGGATTATGATTATATATGATCATATAACAAGAATACCATATAAAGGAGTGCTTTAAGCTGTATATGTGAAGCAGCTAAACATTGTTGGCAAGATCCATCTCTTTTCTCTAAAACGTATTCATTCATCCCCTGCAAGTAGTTTGAACATATCTGAAAATAATTTTTCGCTTCGCTTCATTTCCATTCATTTTTTGGAAACAAAGCTAACAATTGAGACTTTTTTTTAATTTCGGGTGAAAGCTGGGTAAATCACATATTATCTGGGAACAATCACATTCGTTGCTATGCTCCTGGTTCGCAACTCAAATTCTCAAACTTTCTCATAGTTGAGATAGTACATCGATGTTCTTTGATGACAAACTTTAGCAGCATTCTTCATTATATACAAAATCATGCAAAAAGTCTTAATCATCTCACTAGACGATATATGATCAGCTTCTCAAAACGTTTCATTTTGACTCCATCTTCCACTTTCTATTCTTGTATATCATATTCTCAGAAGACTCAACCCCCTCATCATTCAAAGCATGTTCAACTTCAAACGTAGTTTTTTTGATGCTTTAAACATAATATTCTGATAAAAATTAAAGTTTAATGATCACTTAGATTGTTTCTCAGACGTATTCTCATGAATTAGCAGATTAATAAACGTTTTCATAGCTTCGTCATCACATAGGTGTTACTCATTCTACTCAACTCATTCAATGTTCAAGCTCAACTCTTAATCTCTACAACTTCATTTGGTCAAGTGTTTTATAATCTCAGTCTCTATATTCTTCTTAGCTATAACTTATGCTTTCTAAATATTAATCAGCCAGAGTACTGAAACACCGTATTAAAGACTTTTTTGGAAGCACTAATCGCCTTTAGCCATTTGAATTCTTACGACATTTCGCAAATAATCCATGATGTGTCGTCATCCATGATGTGTTGAGATGATCCAATAGCTAATTTGATGAATAGAAGTCATTGTCTCAAGTATTCAGTAGATGACTTATCATTGAAACATTTATTACATTCTAATATGGTCCATGCTAAACCTTTCATTATATGTTTGAAATCTCATGTTCACACAACTCCATGATCATTAAAAAGAGCGATGGATAATAATTGTCGTTTATAACAAGAAATTCGTATCTAATTGCCTCAATAGGAGAACACTTGCTTCGCTAGAGTATAATGAAGTATGTTCTATGATGTAACGTATTGACTTTAGCATATATATATCTATATATCCCATGTAAGATTGATACCAACAGCAGAAATTGGAAAGTAAATTGATATCAAGTAAGTTTCTCATTCTTCCTCCCTTTCTTGAGCTGCAGGCTTTTGTTTAGTTTCTAAACTGCATTCTTCATACTTACCAACATCTAGTATCCATGATGACGTTTGACACTCTTAAGTTCTCATCAATTGTAAGTACAATGACTTTTGGAGTTTAAAAGTTAAATTCAAATTCCATGGGATAAGTCGTCTGAAAAACGTTAAGCATGGCTGAAATACCAATTAGGCCGATGTTAATTCTATGAACTTCTTACCCTTTTGCAAGTTCTCTTTTAGAACATTCACAAACATCACATAAACATTTCCAGACATCTCTTCTGTTTTTCAACTTTTCCATACAACAACGCTTGAATATCATTTCATCTCATCTGCATCTCTCTCTCTCTCTCTCTTCATATTCAGATGTTGGCGTTCAAGTTCTCTAACCTTTCTTACAAATTGACTTTATTACTTCATCTTCCATCCCTCATTTCAACTCCAATCGTCTTATTTTCTTATATAATGATCTTCATTTATTCTCTTTTCGACCAAATAGGAAAACTTCACTTCTGGCTCCATATTCCACTTCCATTCTTCTGATGGACGTTCAACTGGAAGGTCGCAGCGTGCAAGATGTAAGTTTCATCATTAGACATCTCATATCATATTACGACATCATGTCTTTTTAAAGTTAGCGAACGATGCCGAGAACATCTCTCATTGCCATACTTGTCGTCCTCGTCATACGACTCATTTGTATGATCATGATGAAAATCTTACTATACCGCTCTCACACTTAGGTGAAATAGAGGTGTTCCTTTGAAATTTTCACGAAAATTTAAAAACTTCTTAAGATTCGCCGTTATGCACAACTCTCGATTGAGAGAAAAACTAACTTCTTAGAGTTATCTGCAATCGATTTGATTTGCAAAGATGAATTACCTCATCATCTGCATCATTACATGCCCTCCCTTGGTTTCAACTTCATACTACAGAGTTGTAGCCGCAAAAATAGAAAGGTATCCCTTTCAACACAAGAGTATCCCTCAAATTCTGCTAAGAAATGGTTCTGTCGAGCAATCATAGGAACATCCTGCAAGAGATTCGAAAAAAAACAAGTTAAGCAATCTGAAGTGCTCGATTGGATCAAACTCTACTCGACTGCACGGTTCCCCATGCTTAAGCAGGTTTTCAGATCTCATCGAATTCTTTCTTTGAATCTGTACTTAAGGTTAAATGCATTGCTACCGTGAACCGTTTCCTAACGAAAATGCTTTTGAACAACTATGAAGTGACAGAATATCTCAACTTTCCGGATCCAATACTCTTATCAATTGAAGAAAACAGTATTATCTCTGATCATCATGCCAAGTCTCTTCGAATGCATCGATGTTTCAGCAGTTGTAGCACTGACTGCGTGAGAAAGAGAGATAAGCTAAGAGTTGAACTACATTTGATAGTTCCTCATGAAGGAGTAACTGCGAAGGTGATTGCCTCTTACCAGCATACCTTGCTCATACACTATTCAGATAAACTTTCAACGAATTTATCGTATAACGGTTAACGGTTGCTATTGGGAGAATCCTTCTCTAATGCGAATGGAATTAGCTGCATGTGATCTCATAAAGAATGAGAATGTCTGTGCTTAATACTTAA